CAATTCAATTAGTATTATATTATAATTATAAAAAAAAATATTAAATCAAATAAATAAGAAAAGTAAACAAGAAAGGAAAATTTAAAATTGAAAAATGTTGTGCATGGTCAATTGTATTAAATTATATTACATCAGCCATTAGATGGAAAGTTAGACCCCTAATATTGAGACTTTTTAAACTTTTGATATTAGGGTTTTTTTCATCTAATAATTTTTATTTTACAATCTCATGTAATTTAAATTGTAAAATAAAATTTTTGTTTAAAATACAACTTGTATAAAAAATAAAAATTTTAAAAATATATTATATTTTTATTTTACAAAAAAACAAAAATAAAAATATTATATTAATTTTAAAATTTTATAATACAAGTCAACTTATGGAGTTAACCGATTAGGTTAGATTTTGCCACCTCTATTTGGAAGTTATATTAAGTTTTAACTAATTTAGAGTTTAGTTAAATCAGATTTCATAAAAAAAGAAAAAAAAAAAAAAACATGAATGATCTATTTTGGTCAAATGGTATTGGATCTGGATTAGGATTGTTCACTTCCGTAGGTGGTGTGTTAAGTTCCATGAAACTCATTTCTCTTTTCCTCATATATACATGTAAATAATGTCAAAATTGTTCAAAAAAAAATCAACTTAAATTAATTTCAATTTAAATTAAATTTTAATATAATTACCTCAATTTCAATGAGATTAATCAGTCTGTATTTGAATATAAATAGTAATAACTGTCAGTTTCTTCGCAGCACACACTACTAATAGCACATTTGACAAAAATAAAATAAAATAAAATAAAATAATAATAATAAAACGCTACCGATAGCACGATTGTAGAAGTGATGTCCTTTTGAACTTTTTTCACAATCTGACATGCGTGGTCGTTGGGTGCGCTATAATGTGGCACTATGAGCCTAGCTTCTATGTACCAAGTTATTATGATCAATTTTACCTTTTTGGTAATCTAAATTCTTAAATAGTGAAAAATGATGTAATCTTGCCATGTGATGCTTGTGATCGCTGTGTAAAATTTTTTCCTACACCATCCCCATTTTGTTTTCCCCACGGGAACCCAGCCAAACTGGGTTCCCAAACTCCGAATTCCCTTTGTAAAAGAAAAATATGGTGAAAAATGATGAAGCGCCTAGCTTCTATGTACCAAGTTATTATGATCAATTTTACCTTTTTGGTAATCAAAATTCATAAATAGTGAAAAATGATGAAACAAAAATAATTTGTTGATACACAGATAGACTGAATAAAAGAAATAAATTGTTTATTAGTAATTTAAAATTAAAATAATAATAGTAATAACAATTTATTAACAATCTTTATTGATATTGAGTTCTTATATGCTGTTATAGTAATTTTTTTGCTCTTTTTCATTGGAAGGGACATGTAAATTAATATTTATTCACTCATTCAAGATCATCTATGGTAAAAATTTATATATTTTGAAGATAACGGTAACAAACAATAATTGTTTTATATATATTTATTTATTTATTATGAAAAAACACGAAAGTGAATGAAACAAGAACTAGAAAGAAGTTGGAGAATAATACCAACAAGAAGAAAGAAAGCTAAACTTGTATTTTATTTCACAAAAATAGATTTATTTATAACATGAAAAAATTGTAACTCTTAAAATGAAAATTTATTATATAATAATTCTTGTAAGTAATTTCTATTTATTGTATAATTCTCATACATCGATAATTGTTATATGCAAATATCAACTAATTTTAAAGAAGAGAAACTCATTAGTCATACGTTGGTAATGAATTAAAACTCTCAAGAAATAATTGTTTCTATTGGTGGATAATTAAAATTGCCAAGAATATTATTGTTTTTGTTGGTGGCAAAATGCTGCAATAGTCAATTTTATAACACTTCTTCTTAGATGTTTATCATTTTATTATATATTATTAAATTATTTCATTAAAAATCTTGTTAAGCAAAGGAAAAAAAGTGCAATGCATATGATGATACTCCCTCTCAATTCAACAAATATTTTTAATTAGGCAATTTAATACTAATTTTGTGTCTTAATTTTTCAAAAACTCTAATAAGTAATGATTTTGTAAAGAGAATCATCTGAATAGATCTAATAAAAAATTATTTCATTTCTCATTAGAAATTTACAAGAAATGAAAAGCCAGAATTGCCTGGCAATCCTAACAGCATCCCCAAAAATTTATACATAGAAAATTACTTTGGTGAGATATACATTGATTCCAATAATTGATATTAAATTAATACTAATCTCAAGTATTATAGGTGCGATTGTTTTAGTGTTTAGAAGGTAGCTACTTGTTGGTGGCTCCTAAACAACTATTTAAAGGTATTTTGCTAAGTTTTTTAATAAGAAGATGTGAATCAATTAACAATTATTGAGAATCTAAATAGTTACAAAATAAACAATTATCAAAGTTAATTATTTGAGTTAAACCCTATTTTAATTTTTTTATCCTCTTTTTTTTGTCCTAGTATAACCCTAACAATATTTGTAAAATCTTTGCAAGAATCTTGCGCAACAAATCTACCCACTATTCCAAATTTTAGAAAAAAATTGTGGAGAAAGAAAAAGAGGGAGATGAGAGGTGAGATTCAAAGGAAACAAACGAGCATTGAATGCTTTGGGAATTAGTGATGGTGACTTGTGATTGACGTCAAACGAATCAACAAAGACCAATGTACTTTGGTAACGAGAAGCAATTGTGAGTAGGCCTGGGCGTTCGGTTGGGCAACCGAATGATTACTCGAAAATCGACTCGAAAAAATGAATTTGGTTCGGTGTTATCGATTTTTCGATTTCAAAGATCAGGTTTGGCATTACCCGAATGAACTTCGGTTTGGTTTCGATTGGGCCTTCCAAAAATAAAAAACCAAAATGGGCCTCCTGAAAACCGAATTGGAGGCCCAAGCCAAAAGACCCAAAAGCCAAAACACAAAACTTAAAAGTTAAAAGAACAAAAGGAGCAAGCCGTTGTAGCAGAAACCCTAATGCCGCCCACCCCTTCTGCCATCCTCTCCGCGCCTCCGCCCCCCTCAACTCAATTTTAAGCTTCCCTTCCCTCCGTTGTCCATTCCACTCGGCACTCCAAATCAGATCCTTTCTCTCCTCCCCCTCCAAAATCAGTTTAGTCTAATCACTATTAGACTTATCACCTAGCTAAGGCTAAAGATCTAATTTCCTATTTTGAAATTTTCTTTTCCCTCTCCACTCTCACTTCTCAGCCCTTCCAAACCGGCGAACCCTAATGGTGCTCGCCCTTTCTGCACGACCTTCTGACCCTTCTCTGTTGTGCGCCTCACCCCTCAACTCAATTTTTAAGCTTCTCGCTACCCCAGATCCGCAGATCCTTTACCCCTCCAAAATCAATCTAATCACTAGTCCCATTTTCCCTCTCTATTCTCTGCCATTCCAGTATTCCACCATGATTTTTTTTCCATACAACCATTATTTTTTTCATAAGTATAAAATGATTCTAACATCATATTACCATACTTGCTTTTCTTTTCTAGATCTGTTTTTCAAACTCTCTTCTTTTCCCCATCTTTTTCTCTCCACCATAGCAGCGCCAGTGTTGTCGCCTGTGCTGCTACCTAGTATTCTCCTTGATCCGTCTCTAGTAGTGAAACCAAAAACCGAATTCTTATCTTTCAGTTCTCATCTAAGCTCTTATTCTCTTCCTTCAACTTCTGTGACTTTGTGTGTTGAGGACTTTTCTCATTCAGAGGCCATACGGTATGGGATTTATTGTGGATACTTGTTTGGACCCCTTGAGAATTCTGCTAATGTCTATCCTTCTTTTTGCTGTCATTTTGCATTTTGATTCAATCATCCAAGGAAAATTCAAAAATATCCAGGAAAGGGTTTTTTTTTTCGCATCTGGGTATTTTGGGGAAACTTGATGCATGCTTGAATCATAATGTTGTTTTTGGCATGGGGCGGTGGGAGAACAAGAAAATTAGGGTTCATAATTGTTCATGATAGATTGCTTTCAAGATTAAAAGGCCCAGAAGGGAAACAGGGCAAATGGGGTTTTTGAAAAAAAGAAAAATTAGTACAGGACACTTGTGGCTTGAATGAATAAGAGCCATAGATACGGTGGCTCCAAGTTTAGTCACTCAATCACATTGATTAATTAATATTATTAGTGACCAGCAGTCTTCTATTATTTGTCATATGCTTTTCAATTTTACATGGATTATGCTGACTATTAATTTTGACTTTTCAATTGCAGTTTTTCTTCCTGGTTGTCTTACTGTTACATTAATGGCAGAGATACAACCTGACAATTTAAGAGTACCTATCTGCACTTTAGATTTATTTACTTAAAGTATATAAGAAATAAATTAATTATCATTAAACTTGTATGTTGGTTGATGTTTATGGTATGCTTATTGCAGAACCAAGTTGCCGATGAGCATCCAGAAATTGTGGAAGTTGAATCAGTAGTTGATTCCAGACAAGTAGAGAAAGGGGGTGCTGTTAAAGGGAAAAGAAAGAAAGTTAACAAAAGATCTGAGGTATGGAATCATTTTACTGAGATTGTTGATAAGGATGGGAAAGATAAGGCTAAATGTAAGCATTGCAATAGGTGTTTTGCTTCTAATAGTGTAATTAATGGGACCTCCACAATGAAAACTCATTTATTGACTTGCAGTCACTATGGTGGGTCTAAAAAAAATCAAACAATGCTTACTTATTTTGGTGGTGATGTTGAGAATGGTGGTTAGATTTTAGGCACCTGGAAGTTTAGTCATGAGTCTGTGAGGAGGTCTTTAGCTGAAATGATTATAGTTGATGAAATTCCATTTAGTTTTGTTGAAAAGCAAGGGTTTAGGAAGTTTTGTCAACTTGCATTGCCTCCTAATTTTAATGCCCTATCTAGGAGAACAATAACCAGAGATTGTTATAGTATTTATATGGATGAAAGGTTGAAGCTTAAATCATTTTTCAAAGGATATAGGCAAAGGGTTTCACTTACCACTGATACATGGACCTCAAGTCAAAGAATTTCTTACATGTGTCCAACTACACATTATATTGATGAAAATTGGAAGTTGCACAAAAAAATCCTAAACTTTTGTCCTGTTGAGAGTCATAAGAGGGAAGAGTTAGGTGACCTTTTAGAGAGGTGTTTGAAAGATTGGGGTATTGAAGAGGTATATGCATTAACTGTGGATAATGCCTCATCAAATGGTGGAGTTGTTAGGGTTCTTAGGAATGCCCTCACCAAGTGGGGAACAGCAGTCTTAGGTGCACAAGATTTGCATATGAGGTGTGCAGCTCATATCATCAATCTTGTAGTTGGTGATGGAGTAAATGAGGAAGAGATGCACAAGAGTGTAACTGCTGTTAAAGCTGCTGTGAAATATATAAGACAGAACCCATTAAGATTAAAAAGATTTAAAGTTGCTGTTGAGTTTGAAGATATTGAAACAAAAAAAGGGCTTTGCTTGGATGTTCCCACAAGGTGGAATTCCTTGTATTTGATGCTGGACACTGCAGAAAAATATGAGATGGCATTTGAGAGGTATAATTTTTTGTCTTAAGTTTTGTTTTTGGTTCTTTTAGTTTGGTTGAGTTTATTTATATTTTTGTTTAAGAATTGTGAATAGTTTGCTTTGTTTTTTGAAGATATGCTAGAAGTGACAAAGATATGAAAACTGAACTGAATTATGGGAAAAATGCACTTGGTTTTCCATCATGCATTGACTAGGAAAATGTGAGAAGGGTGGTTCGGTTCTTGAAGCACTTCTACTACTTAACTGAGAAGGTTTCTAGTAGTTTATATACTATCAGCAACCTTCTTTTCCCAGAAATTAGTGAGGTTTGTTTCTTGAACTTACAAATGCCTTGATATATTTTAAATTTGATTTAAAATTAATTATATGTTAATAAACATATGTGTATGCTGGTATATTATGTCATTGATTAATTTTTATTTCTAATTGAATTTTAAGGTTGATTGTTTGTTAAAATCTTGGGAGAAAGATGTGGATGTAAAAGACATGGCACAATCAATGAGGGAAAAGTTTCACAAGTATTGGGGTACTCCTATAGAAATGAACAAAAATATTTTCCATGCTGTAGTCCTTGATCCTAGGAACAAATTAGGATTTCTTGAATTTTTATTGATAAAAGTGTATGGTAAAGAACAAGGAATGCAACATGGTAAAATGGTTTGTTGTGAATTGAAGAGGTTGTTTGCTGAATATAAGAAAACAGTTTCTAGTGGTGGGAAAATTGTAGTTCTGGAGGGTAGTACTAGTGCTAGTAATGCCCTTAGTGAGAGTGAGTCCAAGCATAAGAATAAGCAACAACTTAAGTCTGCTTACAAGAGGTTCAAAATTGAGAATGGGTTCATGTCGGAGAAAACTGAGCTAGATAAGTATTTGGGAGAGGATGTGGAGGATGATAATGATGATTTTGACTTACTTGGATGGTGGAAGTTGAATGCTCCAAGGTTCCCTGTCTTGGCAACAATGGCCAGAGATGTTCTAGCTTTTCCGATTTCAACTGTTGCTTCTGAGTTGGCTTTTAGCATGGGAGGGAGAGTTCTTGATGCTTTTAGATCATCTCTAACCCCAAGAATGGCACAAGCCCTTATTTGTGCCCAAGATTGGTTGCGGAGTAAATCGAGAATAGTTTCGGAAGAGGAAGACTTGGATCTGTTGGACAATCTCGAGAAAGGTATGATCTTGTAACACTAATTTCTTTTATTTCATTTAACATTTTAAACATGAATTGACTCTGCTCTTCTACTGTTTGTAGAATTTGACAAAGTGCACATGGATTCTGCCATTCTAGAATGAATGGCTTGAAGGTTTAGTCTTTGGTGTTATGGTAGTAGGTAAAGTAATCCCACTCATTTTTAACTAATTTCATCATGTTGGAATTAACTAGGCATTGGTAGCATATTATTTTTTTTTTCTTATAATTGCTGAATTGTTTTTTTTCTTAATTGCTGGATTGATTTTTCTTAATTGTTGGATTGTTCTATTCTAATATTTATATGGATTGATTTTTTCTTAATTACTAGATTGTATTTTTCTTAGTTGCTGGATTATATTTTTCTTAATTGTTGGATTGTATTTTGCTGGGTTGTATTTTTCTTCATTGCTGGATTGTATTTTTCTTAATTGTTGGATTGTTTTTTTTTTTATATATATAATGCTGAAGTGCTTTTTTCTTAGTTGTTAGATTGATTTTTTCTTAATTACTGAACTGTTTTATTCTTATAATTGCTGGAGTGGCTTTTTCTTAATTGTTGTATTGTTTTATTTTTATAATTGTTGGATTGCTAGATTCATATGGGCAACATATTAATTTTTTCTTATAATTCTTGGATTACTTTTTTTTTTTGACAATTGCTGGATTCATGTCTTTGCTTATGTTAACCTCATAATTCGTTTTCTTCTTTGTCCATCAAATAGATTCTTGTATATATACGGTGGAGGTGTTTTTGGGATCTTTTTGTTCATATCAGTATATCACACCCATATTGCAGCTGTAAAGAATCAACACAATGAAGCTTATTGACTTTTTTGGACAGCTTCATTCACTTGGAGATTTGCAGTCTTTTGCACAGCTTTAACTTGCTCAAGTTGCTGCTTTGTTTGGACAGCCTCACATTTACGTATGCCTTTGCTTACATTACAGAAAAATGCACAAATGACCAATTGCACAGTGGAAGCTGCATCTCATTTCCTTTTTGTTAATATCCTGACAGTGGATGCATATTTTTTAACTATTATTTGATAGATAGTGTAATTAGGTTGATGTAGTCATCCATCACTCTAAATTGTTGATGAGTAGAAAACTATGATTGCAAGTTCTGTAATTTTTTGTTATTACTTTGTCTGGTCAATGTAATCTTCAATCTTGGATGATGGAATGAATGTAATATTGTGTTTTGGATTTCTAGTATTTTGCATGGTATATTGAAATTATTTATTAATGAATTTTGATTTTTTTGAATTTAAAAATTACACCATGTATGTTTTTTTTTTTTTTATCTATATTGATATTTTTATGTTATTATGTAAAAAATGCTAAATTTTGGCTAAGTATGGAATGATTTGTAATATTGTGTTTTGGATTTCTAGTATTTTGCATGGTATATTGGAATTATTTATTAATGAATTTTGATTTTTTTGAATTTAAAAATTACACCA